TGTTCTCTTCACGCCGCCAACACACCAAATTCACCTTCACGCAAGCGTCACTGTCTCCACCCCACCACCTCATTGTTGTATATTGTGAATGCATGTCACCAGGCCTACTTTGTCGTGCATGCGATGCCGCACCTCCTGTACGGCATCAACGGCGTCCACCGCATTGAGGCTTCCCAAGACAAGGCCGTGCTTGGCGTCTTCTGGCTCTTCACGGGCTTCCAAGCCCTCCACACCATCGAATCCGCGGTACGCAGCCGACAGACTGACACAAGCACAGACACACACACACACACACGCCTGTCTCTGTCTCTCTAGTGTTGGGTCGTCTGTCTCTGATGTCTGCAGTCTCCCTTCATGCAACTCACTGCATGCATGTGCTCGTGCACTCACTCACACCTTGCCCGTCTCCCGCTTTGTCTTGCTGCCACTCTTCCCCTCTTATCCTCCCCCCCCCCCAAAAAAAACAACAACAACAACAACACCAAACAGCTGTGGTGCGATCGCCCACTGACCGTGATTGCGGTCGACCTTGGGCGCAACCTCGTGCGCATCCTCTCCACCACTGGCATTGCCATCGCTTTTGGCATCTACGACCAGTGATGTCTGTTACCAACCCGCCACAAACAGCGTGACGCGAGTGAGCCGTGGAGTGTGAGTGACGTGACGTGAGCCACGGACTGAGCTGAGCGGACAGTTCTTGCACTCTCCACCATCTTTGTAGCTTCTCTGTTTGCCCTGTGGAAATTTTGTTGGTATTGTTACCAAATTTCTTGCCTTCACCAACACCCAATACAAGCCACCAAGCGCAGAGCGCAGCAGCTCAGAACACACAGCAAAGCGCACACAGCCACACTTGCAGCCATGAAGATGTTGAATGGGGCGCTGGCGTCCGCCATCTTCTATGGCGTGTCGTCACTCGCCATCATGGGCGTGAACAAGATGGTCCTCACAGGATACGCGTAAGTGATAGTGAACATGTAGCGAGAGATCAGCACGGGCAATGGCGCGGTGTGACAAGCACAAGGTGCATGTGCATGTGTGTGTATGTGTGTGATGCCTGCTGCTCCTTGTTGGCTCATGGCGCATCACACTTGACTGCAACTGCAACACAACAGATTCCCTTCTGCGTCAGTGGTCGCGTTGTGTCAGATGGTGCTGACGATCCTGATCCTGCCGCTGGCAAAGCAGTTAAAAATCATCGAGTACCCAGACATCTCTTCAAACATCGTGCGCAAGGTGTGTATGAGTGTGTATGTGTGTATGAGTGTGTATGTGTCTGTCTGCGTGCGTGCGTGTGTGTCTGTCTGTCTGCGTGCGTGCGTGTGTGTCTGTCTGTCTGCGTGCGTGCGTGTTTGTCTGTCTATCTGCGTGCGTGCGTGTGTGTGTGTGCATCTGTGTGTGTATTTACGATTTTGTGGTTCTTGCTGTTCTGAGTGCGTCTTGGCTTGTCTGGGTGGCTGCACGCCTGTCTGCCACGCACACGTTCCCTCAATGCACAACACATGTCGCATCTGCCTCACCACCGCGTGCACTCCCAGGTGTTCCCGCTGCCGCTCCTTTTCCTGGCCAACCTGGTGACGGGCCTTGGTGGCACCAAGCGCATCAACCTTCCCATGTTCACCCTCCTTCGCCGGTGTGTGTGTGTGTGTGTGTGTGTGTGTGTGTGTGTATGTCTGTCTGTCTGTCTG